CCCCAAAACCCCAAAACCCCAAAACCCCAAAACCCCAAAACCCCTGGAGATTATTCAAGTATTGAAATTGACTAAATAATTTAGGTCCTTAATTCTCATGAGATTAGATCTTTAATGCATTTTCTGTATTTCTTCTTATCCTTTCCTAAAGTCTGGTGGTCCTGCAGGAACTTCTCCAATGACTTTAGAGTAAGTATATTCGAGAAGAGGAACTTTGTGCAAGGGCGATGGATAAACTTATTGAACTTCTCATGTGAGTACTTGTATAAAACCTCGTGGAACTCATTTAACAGGTTTTTGCTCTCAGTGTTAAAAGATAGCTTTTTCATTTTACAGTAATCCACGAAGAGGCCTACGGTAAATCCAAGATCTGGCAAATCTCCGTATTTTTGCTTTACTTTCCCAGGGCCGTGCTTTTGGATAAGTGCAGCAGCGTATGAATCGAGATAACTAGAGAATTCTTTAGGAGTACAATCTTTTTGGTAGCTTTTATCTTTCAGAAATTTTGAGAAGTCCATATTATATTCACTCCTGATTGCTCTAAGAATGGTCTTTTTCAGAACATCTGTTCTATTAATCATGTACTTTTTCTTGCTGAAGGAGCTATAAAGTAGGTGTGGTAAAGATCCCAATGATTATAACAAATCACCAAATCGATGAAATATAGCTTTGAGAGCTCTAGTATAAGACCTACCATTGTCTCTCATCTGCTTTCTTAAGCATTATCTATAGTTAACATTAAAATTATACCTTAAAGTCTTTAAGTTCTGGATCTGACTCTTCTTCTGAACTTTGTTCATAAATCAACCTAAAATTTAGAAATTGGCTTAACTTATTGTCCAAAATACTGTTATTGAACATCACTGAGTTGTGCTTTCCACCATAAAAATCTGGTCTAAAACCTACAAATCTAGATGCAGCTCCTAAACTTCCCACTTGGGGTATCTGAAATCCACCTGTGATCCCTTTTGAGGCCCATTTGTTTCCGTGAAAGTTTGGATTATGAGTCACCACAAATCGTTCATATTTTCTAAAAATATTAAGATTTCACTTACTCTTCTTCATCTGCAGGCAGCCTCAGCTGGAATCTGGCCTTTTCCTTTGGGAAATTTTCAGAATTTGGCCGTATAATTTTGAAAATTTGAGGAATTTTAGACTGTGATTGATCCTTCTTTAAGGAATTTTGACGATAACTAAGGCTTTCGGCTCGCTTTAGGACTGACACATGGCTCGTACGAGTCTTCGGCAGAGACTCTGAATTAGCTCGACGTTGAAGAACAGGCTCGATAGGAGTGGACGTGAGTTTTGTTGGATCACGAATCGATCTTTTTACAGGTGTAAAACCAGAACAACGTCTTGACAGTAGATTAGAACCCATCCTTGGAAATAGCTCTTTACTCGGAGTAACGAAAGGAGGAATCTTTTGCAAAGGTTTAACTGGAGACTCCTGGTATCTAAAAGAGGCTCTTCTCGCCTGTAAAGAGTTTCCTTGATTTATATAATCGTGAGTTTGAGTCAAGGGTTTGAATCACTTAACCTAAGAATCTTGCGTTAAAATACCCCATGCGTGAAAGAAGATGATGATTATATGCTAAGCATAACTTTAGAACTTGAATAGTAAAGCAAACTTGACAGTTTCTCTCAGTAATTTTCTTATCCAAGTTTAAGTAAAACTATTCCGCTTACTTTATAGTTTGGGCAATCCATGCTGGAGCTATGAGGAGTACTTCTTGTAATGAATGGACTTTCTCTATTTGTTTTGCTCCCGAAATAATCTTTAATAACCGGGATTGGAGAGTCTATATCGTAACCCTTTAGACAACTGCTTGAAGTCATGAGTGATGGTGGTTTTTATTAGAGTTCGAGTCTTAAACTATATCTTCTACTAGCCATCAAGCGATCATAATAAATACGGTTTAACTTTAAAATCCTTGAAGGGATTTGCACTAAAAAGGAGAATATTTCTACCAGAATTAGAGTATCAAAACTTGATTTAGGAAGATATTTTCAAAATTATCGGTCCTTACCATCTTTCTCAGGTTCAGCTTGACTCTATAATCCATTGTCATAATTAAAATTCTAAAAGTCCGAAACTTATACTTCTCAAAAACAAACAAGCTCTATCAAAAGTCTAGAGCATCCCTCTAGTCTAAAATCCAATTCCAAACTCAATAAACACCTCTAAAAACCTCTATCTTCTCTCTAAAATACAAAATTCCAAAACCATTTAATCTATACCTAAACCCCTTAAACTCCCATTATCTTCAGTCCAATTCCCTTAAACCCATCACCCCTTATCTAACCCCTACATTTTTCTTCATTTATTAATAAATAATATTCAATACATCCCTCTTACCCAGGGGTTTTGGGGTTTTGGGGTTTTGGGGTTTTGGGG